GAAGGAAGGAAAATTAAGGTCCTTTGTAGATGATTGATGTATGCTAACATCAACAGGTCCTGTCAGAAGTAATTGGACTCTCCTGAGTGACGACAGGCCTATTGTTTTTGTTTCTTTGTTTTGTTTTGTTTTTTTGATTTGTTGCCAGTCAGGGCATGGGCTCTGTCCAGGAGTTTCTTTTGCTCAAGGCTTGCAGCACGCTACCACTTGAGCCACAGCGCTACTTCTGGCATTTTCTGTTTATGTGGTACTGAGGAATTGAACCCAGGGCTTCATGCCTGCAGGGCAAGCAGTCTACCACTAAGCCATATTCCCAGCCAGGCATGTTTTTCTGTTATTTTTTTTCTTTTTTTTGGTCCGATCGTGGGGCCTGAACTCTAGGCCTGGGCGCTGTCCCTCAGCCCTTCAGCTCAAGGCTAGCACTCTACCACTTGAGCCACAGTACCACTTCCGGCTTTTTTTTTTCTGCTTACATGGTGCTGAGGAATCGAACCCAGGGCCTCATGCATGCAAGGCAAGCGCTCTACCACTGAGCCACCTTCCCAGCCCTCTGTTGTTATTTTATTTTCCTGCTAGTAGTCCTGGGGCTTGAACTCTGGACCTGGGCACAGTTCCTGAGCTTCTTTTTGTTTAAGGTAAGCACTCTACCACTTGAACCACAGCACCATTTCTGGCTTTTTTTGTCGGTTGTGGGGCTTGAACTCTGGGCCTGGGTGCTGTCCCTCAGCTCTTCAGCTCAAGGCTAGCACTCTACCATTTGAGTCACAGTGCCACTTCCAGCTTTTTCAGCTTATGTGGTGCTGAGGAATCGAACCCAGGGCCTCATGTATGCAAGGCAAGCACTCTACCAGTTAGCCACCTTCCCAGCTCCCACTTCTGGCTTTTTTGAGTAGTTTATTGGAGATAAGAGTCTCACAGTTTCCTGCCCAGGCTGATTTCAAACCTCGATCCTCAGATCTCAGCCTCCTTAGCTAGAATTACAGATGTGAGCCACCAGCACCCTGTTACACGCATGTTTTTTTAGCATATATGACATACTTAAAGGCCTACAGTACTTGTTTTAATGCCTTTTGTAACAATGTGTATAGCACAATTTAGAAAGGCTTAATCCTGATTTTAAGCCCTATTACCACTACTATAAAAAAACTTTTATCCATTTTATTATTTTTTTTTAACGCAAAAACTTCATTTTATTATAGTAAAAGGGCTGAGGTTTGGGATGGTGTAGATGCAGCAGGCAGACAACTATTGCCCTAGTTAACCTTGTATGTCCATACCCATGTCCAGGAAGGTCGCAAAGATGCTGCCACATGGCACTACACTTTTCCCAAATGTCACCCATCAGCTTCCAACTCCACATTGTAAACCTGAGATAGGAAAAGATGCCAAAGAACTACCCCACACCATATCCATATCACAACCTATGACAGCCTATCTTCACATGGTCAAAGCAGTTGGTGGAGACTGGACCCATTGGCCACTGGCACTTCACTCTTGATCTTAGGAAAAAAACCCAAAGGATTTTTGTATTTTGGTACCGATCCTGGGGCTTGAAGTCAAGGTCTGGGCATTATCTCTGATTTTCTTTGTTCAAGGTAAGCACTCTACCACTTGAGCAATATCTCTACTTCTGGCTTTTTTTTTTTTTTTTTTTTTTTGGTAGTGGGGAAAGGGTAGTTAATTTCAGTCTCATGAGCTTTCCTTCCCAGGCTGGCTTCAAATCTAGTCTTCAGATTTCAGCCTCCTGAGAGCTAGAATTACAGGTGTAAACCACCAGCTCCTGGCTTTTTTTTTTTTTTTTTTTTTGGCCAGTCCTTGGGCCTGAACTCTGGGCACTATCCCTCAGCTCTTCAGCTCAAGGCTAGCACTCTACTACTTGAGCCACAGCGCCACTTCTGGCTTTTTTTGCTTATGTGGTGCTAAGGAATCGAACTCAGGGTTTCATGCATGCAAGGCAAGCATTCTACCACTGAGCTATCTTCCCAGCCCCTCTGGCTCTTGTGTATGAGGAATGGTACTTTATGTAAGCAATCAGTGTTATGATTCAGTTCATAAACTCATTGAAAAATATGAAATAAACCATACAAACCTTTACGTTATTAGAGACCATGTAATTTCATGCAGGTATTAAATATGGATCAATTTTCACTTTTAGGGCAACCAACCAACCACAAATTGGCTGATCATAGGACTTCTCCATAAAAATGGAAACAAAATCATTACTCTGTTCATTGTAACCTTAGAAAGTAGTGATATAAGCATGGTCTAGTAATGTATGTCTATAATCACGGCATTTGGGAGTTAAGGCAAGACCAGCCTGGACTACATGAAGAGAACTTGTTTAAAAAAATAAACAGGAGCCGGGCGACAGTGGCTCACACCTGTAATCCTAGCTACTCAGGAGGCTGAGATCTGAGGATCACGGTTCAAAGCCAGTCCAGGCAGGAAAGTCTGTGAAACTCTTATCAGAAAACTGGAAGTGGTCCTGTGGCTCAAGCGGTAGAGCGTTGCCTTAAGCTGAAGAGCGCAGGGACAGCACCCAAGCCCAGAGTTCAAGCCCCACAAACAAACAAACACACAGGGAGCCAGGTACCCATGGCTCATGCCTGTAATCCTAGCTACTCAGGAGGCTGAGATCTGGAGATCTCAGTTCAAACCAACCTAGGCAAGACAGTCCATGAGACTCGTATCTCCAGTTAGCCACTAGAAAACCAGAAGTGGCACTGTGGCTCAAGTGGTAGAGCATTCACCTTAAGATGAAGAGGTCAAGGACATCACCCAGGCAGAGTTCAAGCCTCACGATCGACCAAAAAAATTAAAAAATAAAAATACTGGGAATGTGGCTTAGTGGTAGAGTGCTTACTTGCCTAGAATGTGTGAAGCCCTGGGTGCCATTCCTCAGTACCACATATACAGAAAAGGCTCAAGTGATATGGTGGTAGGCTTGAGCAAAAGAAGCTCAGGGACAGTGCCCAAGACTGAGTTCAAGCCCCAGGACTGGCAAAAAATAAAGAAATAAAAAATAAACCAATGCTGGTGCTCATGGCTGACACCTATAATCCTAGCTACACAGAAGGCTGAGGTCTAAGGATCAAGATTCAAAGCTAGCCTGGGCGAGAAAGTGCAGGAGAGCCAGGCCCTGGTGGCTCATGCCTGTAATCCTAGCTACTCAGGAGACTAAGATCTGACCATGGTTCAAAGTCAGCCCTGACAAAAGTCCTTGAGGCTCTCATCTCTAATTAACCACTTGAAAATCAGAAGTGGAGCTAAGGTGGCAGAGCACTAGCCTTGAGGAGAAAAAAATTAAGAACAGTGCTCAGATCATGAGTTCAGGCCCCATGGCCAGGTAAAAAAAAGTCCAAGAGACTTTTATTTCCAATAAACCAGCAAAGGGCTAGGAAGTTGGCTCAGTGGTAGAGTGCTTGCCTCGCATGCATAAGGCCCTGGGTTCGATTCCCCAGCACTACATAAACAGAAAAAAGCTGGAAGTGGCACTGTGGCTCAAGTGGTAGGGTGCTAGCCTTGAGCTAAAGAGCTGAGGGACAGTGCCCTGGCCCAGAGTTCAGCACCCCTGACTGACAAAACTAACTAAATAAACCAGCAAAAAGCCAGAACTGAAGCTGAGGCTCAAGTGGTAGAGTGCTAACTCTGAGCAAAAAAGCTCAGGGATAGGAGCTAGGAATGCATGAAGCCCTGGGTTTGATTCCTCAATACCACATAAACAGAAAAAGCTGAAAGTGGCACTGTGGCTCAAGTGGTAGAGTGCTAGCCTTGAGGTGAAGAGCTAAGGGACAGCGCCCAGGCCCAGAGTTCAGGCCTACAACCAGGCCCCCCCCCCCAAAAAAAAGTAGTTCAGGGACAGTTCCAAGGCTCTGAGGTTAATTAAACAAATAGATCAAACAAAGCAGCTGTGGCAATAGCAAGCATAGTAGTGGGGTTTTTTTTTTTTAAGTGTTTGTGTGAGAGATTAGAAAGTATATTAAGAAATGAATACACTTTCAAATGACTGGAGTCATCTCTAGGAGGGAGAATGAATCATTTTCTTCTGGCACAAGTTTTGTGTTTTTCTTTGTCAGTCGTAGGGCCTGAACTCGACCTGGGCGCTGTCCCTCAGATCTTCACTCAAGGCAAGTGCCCTACCACATGAGCCACAGCAGCACTTCTGGCTTTTTCTGCTTATGTGGTGCTGAGGAATTGAACCCAGGGCCTCATGCATGCAAGGCAAGCACTCTACCACTGAGCCACCTTCCCAGCCTATTTTTAAGTGCAAGGGACTTAGAGCATTAAATTTCTTCCCAGGACCTGGCAGAGTCACTATTTCCAAGGTTGGTTGATGTTTACTGAATTATATTTGACCTCTAGGACATGGATCACTGTCCTGAGTGGATACATTAAATATCTATTGTTTCAGAACAATTTGTTGACCCACCTTGGAGTAGAATTAAGTCCATCCTTTTTTTTTTTTTTTTTTGTCAGTCATGGGGCCTGAACTCTGGGCCTGGGCACTGTCCCTCAGCTCTTCAGCTCAAGGCTAGCGCTCTACCACTAAGCCACCTTCCCAGCCCGACCATTGTGGCTTTTGTCCCGCTTTTTTTTTTTTTAAACAAGATTGGCCAAAATTTAATAGAAACCACTCTTGCATAAATCCCCACAAGGCTCCTTTTGTCCGACGTGGGGACGACTGGTTCCATTCTTTAACGTCTCAGTGAGAGCAAGAATGGCACATCTGGGTCCTGGTGACACTTCTCCGCTTCCCTCTGTGGCCCGTAATCGCTCAAGACCGCTCTCTTTGCTCCAGCCTCGGAAACCACGGTTACACGGAAACAAACAAGCCTCAGAAAACTACAATTCCCGTCAGGCCTCATTGCAGGGGACGCCGACGTGTCGTAGCGGTTAGCTGTCCCGGGCTGCTTCCGGTTCCTGGCCTTAGAGGATGGGGCTTCGTGGGCGCGCACCCTCTCTAGCCACCGAGGCAAGGCGCTGAGGCGCAAAGACGCCCGCGACAGGCCGCATCACGTGACGCGCGGCGTACCTTGATATGCGCGCGCTTGCGCGTGTCCCGGGGAACCGCTGACGGGAGTGCGCGCTTCCAAGAGGCGGAGGCGGAGGCGGGGGCCGGACCAGCCGAGGGCTGCGGGAGTCGCTGGGCCCGACGGAGTGGGAGGGTGAGGCCAGCTCCGAGACCGCGACAACGACATTCCGAGCTAGCCCTTGAGGCCGAGTGGAGAAGATGCTGTGGTTCCAGGGCGCCATTCCGGCCGCCATCGCGTCGGCTAAGAGGAGCGGCTCGGTCTTCGTGGTGTTTGTGGCAGGTGAAGGGGGCGGGGGCTGGAGCTGCGGCTGCGGTCGGACACCCCCACCCCCACCCCCTCCCCAATCCGGCCTGTCTCGCGTCTTACCCCAGACGCCAGGCGGCCCTCGCGGCACAGCCAGCCAGAACCCGCCGCCCGCTCCCCTCCGGGGCCGGCTCAGCCCCGAGCCCCAGCTCCTTGAGGGCCCGTACGGGGCCTCCCTGGCGGGTCTGGGGTCCTGCAGGCCTGAGCCCGGGCGGGCCGCACCGTGCGGCCTGGGCCCCGCGGCGCGCGGAGCCCGACGCGGGGAGCAGCTGCCGGCAGGCCCTCCCCGGGAGCCTGGCCCCGAGCGTCCCAGCCGCTTCCCAGCCAGGCCGCCCGAGGAGTGGTCGCGGGCGGACCCGGCGCGTCTCCCCCAGTCCCTTTCCTCAGCCCTGGGTTTTCTGTCTGTCCTGCCCCGGTTGGGGTGTCTTGGCGCTGGTTTAGCTCGCCCTGTGCTGGCGGGGTGGAAACCGAGCGTTAGGCTTCTTCCACCAAGTGGTAGTGGACTGTCAGAAAGCTGTGTCATCGGTTCGCAACAAAGAGAAACCACCTGATGGTCACGGTTGCGGGGGGTGGCAGTGTGTTTCTGGGATGTAAACTTTCCAGTTCTAAATAGGTTACCTTCTTTTTTGTGTTCGTGCTAAGGAAAGAGGGTGTCTAAAGTTGCAGTAACTGCTTCGTTCCAGACTGTTTGAATCTCTTTTTTTCTTTTTTTTTTTAACCATTAGTTTTAGAGAAGTACACATTGGATCTGTGGTTCTTCATTTTGCTGTCTTTCTAGCCTAAAGTCTACAGTTCTCCAGAATGTGTACTACAGTTATCCTATGTTGCTCTGTGTTTTTCGGTGCGGGTTCTGGGGCTTGAACTCAGGCCTTGGGCCCTGTTCCTGAGCAAGGCCCTACCACTTGAGCCACATCTCCACTTTGGGCATGTATGTATGTATATATACACATATGTGAATATGTATATATGTGTACATGTATATATGTGTGACACACACGCATTTACTTTTTGTTATTAAGGTGTTGTACAGAGGCGCTACCATTTATTTTACAAGTCAGGTAATGAGTAACTTTCGGCTTTTAATAGTTGATCATAGATGAGTCTCACAGACTTTCCTGCCCCCCACCCCCCTCCCGGCTTGGAACCATGATCCTCTGATCTCAGCCTCCTGAGTAGCTAGAATTAGAGGTGTCCAGCTTACTCTGGGTTATTTTGTCTCGTGTTCTGTGGTAGGACTGAAGTTTTGTGGGTTTACAGTAAACCATCTCCTCTTGTGGGATTGCTTGTTATTTTCAGTGTTTTACTCATAATTGACACTTTTTTTTTTTTTTTTGCCAGTCCTGGGCCTTGAACTCAGGGCTTGGGCACTGTCCCTGATCTTTTGCTCAAGGCTAGAGCTCCACTTCCGCCATTTTTCCGTTTATATAGTACTAAGAAATCAGATCTAGGGCTTTGTGCATGCTAGGCAAGCACTCTACCACTTAGCCATATTCCCACCAATCACACACATCTTTTTTTTTTTTTATTTTTATTTTTTGTCGGTCGTGGGGCTTGAACTCTGGGCCTGGGCGCTGCCCCTCAGCTCTTCAGCTCAAGGCGAGCGCTCTACCACTTGAGCTACAGCTCCACTTCTGGTTTTCTGGTGGTTTATTGGAGATAGGAGTCTCATGGACTTTCCTGCCTGGGCTGGCTTTGAACCGCGATCCTCAAATCTCAGCCTCCTGAGTAGCTAGGATTACAGGCGTGAGCCACCAGCGCCCGGCCTCACACACATCTTTTGAGCCACCAGCGCCCGGCCTCACACACATCTTTTAGTAGTTCCATTACTATGCACTGCTGAGAGGAACAGATTCCTGAAATATAATTTAATTTAGCTTTCTATTTGAAATTTGTAATTGTTTGTATGCTACTTTTATTATTTATTTATTTTTGGGGTCCGATTGTGGGGCCTGAACTCTGGGCCTGGGCTGGCCCTTCAGCTCTTCAGCTCAAGGCTCGCGCTCTACCACTTGAGCCACAGTGCCACTTCCGGCTTTTTTCTTTTTGCTTATGTGGTGCTGAGGAATAGAACCCAGGGCCTCAGGCATGCAAGGCAAGCGCTCTACCACTGAGCCATCTTCCCAGCCCCTGTATGCTACTTTTAAAATTTTATTTTTGTGCTTGAGTAGTTTAGATTCTGATATGCTGTCTGTTCTGGAGCTATATTATACTTTACACTAACAAACTGTTGCTATAATCCAGTAAAGATAAAAGTGGGTTAAAATGAAAGGAGATCTGTGACATGGTGCTCATTGTGAGCTCTACGATAGGTTTATGGTACTTAAATTGAGTTCTTTTTTTCTTTTTTTTTGTCGGTCATGGGGCTTGAACTCTGGGCCTGGGCGCTGTCCGTCAGCTCTTCAGCTCAAGGCGAACGCTCTACCACTTGAGCTACAAAGCCACTTCTGGTTTTCTAGTGGTTTTTATTGGAGATAAGAGTCTCACAGACTTTTCTGCCTGGGCTGACTTTGAACTGTGATCCTCAGATCTCAGACTCCTGAGTAGCTAGGATTACAGGTGTGAGCCACCGGTGCCCGGCTTAAATTGAGTTCTTCATGTAAAATTTTAATTGATCCTTATGGTTAGTAGGTTTGTAGATGATGAACTTATGCACAAAGTCATAAAGAAACTTCCACCAGGGTCACAAAAATAATTTACATCTTTTTTTTGGGGGGGGGGGTCCGGTCGTGGGGCCTGAACTCTGGGCCTGGGTGCTGTCCCCCAGCTCTTCAGCTCAAGGCTAGCACTCTACCACTTGAGCCACAGCGCCACTTCCGGCTTTTTTTCTTTTTGCTTATGTGGTTCTGAGGAATCGAACCCAGGGCCTCAGGCATGCAAGGCAAGCGCTCTACCACTGAGCCACCTTCCCAGCCCAAATAATTTACATCTTAACAGTCAAAAATTTTAAAGCCTTGCTTTTTTGTTGGGAAAAAATTAAACTACTGTTTATGTAGTCATTTAAATTAATGATGAGGAAATAAGGAAATCTAGGACTAAGGTAGTCATGTTTTTGAACAAAAAAAACTCCCACAATTCATAGTTATAACCATTCGAAGAGGTACTTTTTTTTATGTGGGGGGAGGGGTGGGAGGCGGTAGGGGTAATGAATGTGTCCCCATCCATCTGGGGGATGGAACTCAGGGCCTGGGCACTATCCCAGAACTTTTTTGTCCAAGGCTCTGCTATCTACCACTTGAACCACAGATCCACTCTGACTCTTTGCTTGTTAATTGGATGTAATAGTATCCTAACTTACTTAGATCTCAGCTTTCTGAGTAGCTAGGATACAGGTGTGAGTCACCTGTGTTCATCTCAAAAACACTCTTGAAGGTTATCAGTAAATTTGAAACAAGTACTGACTCTCCCCTTACCCCCCTCAAGCCCCAGTGTTTTATGTTGAGAAAAAGCTCTACTGCTGAGCTCACACTTAGCCTAAATTATTAGGCTTAAATGAACATATTTGAAACTCAGAAACACTAGTGTACAGTTTTGTACTTTAAAGGCTTTGTGTGTTGTAGATATACACACATACACGTGTTTATGAGTATACTTACTATACATATATGTAAACACTGGACTGATAAAAACTGTTAACACAACTTGCCTAGAGTTTTTTTTTCTTCATAACTTTGAGGAATATATCCAGAATTTTGATTGTTTTGCTTTTGTTATTGTTGTTTGCCAATCTTGGGTCTTTGTTTATCTGAGGGCCTGGGCATTGGCTTTTGCTTAAGGCTAACACTTTACCACTTGAGCTATAGCTCCACTTCTGGCTTTTTTGGTAGTCAATTGGAGATAAAAATCTTACAGACTTTCCTGCTAGAGCTGGTGTGAACCTTGGTCCTCTAATCTCAGCCTCCTGAGTAGCTAGGATTACAGGAGTAAGTCACTAGTGCCAGGCTCAGAAATTGTTTTCCTTTCTCTCTCTCTCTCTTTTTTTTTTTGTCAGTCATGGGGCCTGAACTCTGGGCCTGGGTGCTGTCCCTCAGCTCTTCAGCTCAAGGCTAGCACTCTACCACTTGAGCCACAGTACCACTTCTGGCTTTTTCTGCTTATGTGGTATTGAGGAATCAAACCCAGGGCCTCATGTATGCAAGGCAAGCATTCTACCACTGAACCACCTTCCCAGCCAGAAATTTTCTTATATATTAGACATCAACAGTAATATACTAACTTAAAGCAAAATTAAAAGATATCTTTATAGTTGAGGGAGTGATCTTAATAAGCACATATGTTGATTTACAGAAGTATTTAAGGAGGAAACCTTTTAGGTGAGTTTATTAATTTTCTTTCAGAGACTGGGTCCTTCAATACTGTATAGGTTGGCCATAACTCTTCTTCCTGCCTCAGCCTCCCAAGTAGCTGACACTGTAATTGTGTGTTTGTGTGTGTGTGTGTATGCGCGCGCGCGTGTGCATGCACACACATGCACACACTCCAATATCAGTGCCAACTGGGGCTTGAACTCAGAGCCTTGTGTGCACTCCATTCATGCTCTACCACTTGAGCCACACCTTCACTTCCAGCTTTTTTGCTGGTTAATAGGAAATTAAGAATGTTATGGACAGGGCTGGGAAGGTAACTCAGTGGTCGAGTGCTTGCCTCACATGAATGAGGTCTTGGGTTGGATTCCTGAGCACCACATAAGCAGAAAAAAACTGGAAGTGGCTCTGTGGCTCAAGTGGTAGAGCACTAGCCTTGAGCTGAAGAGCTGAGAGACAGTGCCCAGGCCCAGAGTTCAGGCCCCAAGACCGACCAAAAAAAAAAAAAGGATGTGATGGCCAGGCACAGATGGCTCACTCCTGTAGTCCTAGCAACTAAGGAGGCTGAGATCTGAGGATCACTATTCAAGCCAGGGTGGACAGGAAAGTCTGTGAGACTCTTACCTGCAATAAACCACTAGAAAACCAGAAGTAGCACTGTGGCGCAAGCGGTAGAGTGCTTGTCTTGAGCTGAAGAGCACAGGGACAGCTCCCAAGCCCAGAGTTCAAGCCCCATGACCAACCAAAAAAAAAAAAGGAATGTTACGGACTTTTTGCCCTAGCTGGCTCATCAGATTATCAGATTATCCTGAGTGGCTAGAATTACAAGCTTGTGCCACCAAGTCCTGCCTGGGTGACACTGTAATTCATGGATGAGTTAATGTAGAGTTGATGTTAGGAGACTATAGTGATACTACTACCACAAGCCAGCAAATGAACAAGAATTTTCAGTTGCAGGTATTTAAATTTAAAGAAGTATAAAAGAAGGTCGTTTGTTTCAGTAGAATAATCTGACAAGGATCCTGAAGCAAAAGATCTATTCCCTTGTGTTATGAGACAGACTGAAATTTGTTAATGTCAGACACCACTGATTGTCTTTTTGGTTAACATTAGACTACAAAATCTTTAGGTTTTGAGCATTGAAACATTGATGTTTTTTGTTTTAAGTTGGAAGGGCATGTTTTAACTTGGAAGTGTGAGAGTGCAGCTAATTCTGAGTCAGTTTGTGTTCTCCCCCACCCTTAGTGTGTCAGGCCTTGGGGTTCCACTTCTGGATTTTTGGTGGGTAATTAGAGATAAGTGTCTCATGGACTTTTTGATACTGGAGCTTCAACTCAGGGCCTCAAGCCTTTACTCCGCTCTTTTGATCACACCTGGTTCTCTATTACTTGAGCTATACTTCCAAGAAATAGCAAGAAAGTAAAATGAAATTAGTTTGGATATGTATTTCAAGACCTCAGGTGAAGTACCTGAGGGCCCTTATGAGTATACTTTGGCTTTTAATTTCAAGAAAATGGGACCAGGAAAACCTAGATAGGAGGTTGTCATCTAGATGAGATGTGATAGCTTGAGTAAGGGTTGAAAGCTTGAATCAGGATGGTAGACATGGAAATAAAAGAGGTATTTATTTTAATGTATTTTGGAGATACCATCAACCAAGTCAATGATAAAGGTTTTTTGTTGTCATTTTTGCTTTTGTTTGTTCACCTGCTATAAAGCCTAGATAGTTTTATGATATTAACTAGGCACTCCTGGAAAAGACCAGTTTTCAAGTTTGGTAGAAAATAGTGTTTATGGGGTTGTATTTTATTTGAAATTCCTGTTCAGGGAAAAGAATTCACCAGCGAATTCTGTCTTTGTATTTGAAGAATTCTTGAACTGTTTTTCAGGTGATGATGAACAGTCTACACAGATGGCTGCAAGTTGGGAAGATGAGAAAGTGACAGAAGCATCTTCAAACAGTTTTGTTGCTATTAAAATTGATACCAAAAGGTTTGCTTATGTTTTAATCTTATTGCTTCTCATTTTATAATAATGTTCTTTAGTTTTGATTTATGCTATAAATTTACACTCATATTAATATGTTCATATTCTTGGAATATAAGAATGTAGATGTTGAGCCTGGTGCCGGTGGTTCATGCCTATAATCCTAGCTACTCAGGAGGCTGAGAGCTGAGGATCATGGTTCAAAGCCAGCCCGGGTAAGGAAAGTCCAGGAAACTCCAGTAAACCACCAGAAAACCAGAAGTGGCACTGTAGCTCAAATGGTAGAGCCCTAGCCTTGAGCTGAAGAGCTGAGGGACAGCACTCAGGCCCAGAGGTCAAGCCCCACGACCAACACACACACACAAAAGAATGTAGATGTCATGTTTGTAGATACCTAAAGAATAATAGGAACTTCATTCTGATCATTATTTTGAACTTCATCCTTATCTTTTTTTAAGATGTTCATAATTGAGCCTGTCACTGGTGGCCCATGCTTGTAATCCTAGCTACTCAGGAGGCTGAGATTTGAGATTGCAGTTCAAAGCCAGCCTGGGCAAGAAAGTCTGTGACACTTTTTTTTTTTTTTTTGAACTCTGGGCCTGGGCGCTGTCCCTCAGCTCTTCAGTTCAAGGCTAGCGCTCTACCACTTGAGCCACAGTGCCACTTCCGGCTATTTTTTTCCTGTTTATGTGGTGCTGAGGAATTGAACCCAGGGCCTCATGCATGCAAGGCAAGCGCTCTACCACTGAGCCACCTTCCCAGCCCTGTGACACTCTTATCTTCAGTTAACCACCAGAAAAATGGAAGTGGCATTGTGGCTCAAGTAGTAGAGCATTCACTTTGAGCTGAAGAGCTAAGGGACAGCGCCTAGGCCCCACTACCAAACCCCCTACCCCAAAAAAAGAAAGATGTTCATAATTGATTTTGCCTATACTGGTGCTTAAATTCAGGGCCTCACTCTGTCACTCAGTTTCATAGCTCATAACTAGTGTCCTGACACTGGACATGTGAATTTCAGATTTGTCTCCCTGAGCTAGCTTTCAACCTCAGTTTTCAGCTCTCAGACTCTTGAGTAAGAAAGATCATAGACATGAGCTACCAGTGTATAGTCTTTTTTTTTTTTTTTTTCTTTTTGCTTATGTGGTACTGAGGAATCAAACCCAGGGCCTCAGGCATGCAAGGCAAGCGCTCTACCACTGAGCCACCTTCCCAGCCCCTCAGTGTCTAGTCTTACAATTTTGTCTTGCTAAAACATTTCACTAACTGGAGTTGTGGTTCAAGTGGCAGAGTACCAGCTATAATTAGAAAAAAAATTGAATACAAAGTCCTGACTTCAAGCTCTAGTATTAACACCAAAAAAATTGGAAGTATGTCTTTTTCTTTTCTTTTTTCTGGTCCTAGGGCTTGAACTTAGGGCCTAGCTCTTTTGCTCAGGCTAGAGCTCTACCACTTTGAGCCAGTTCTGGTTTTCTAGTGGTTAATTGGAACTAAGAGTCTCACAGACTTTCCTGCCCTGGCTGGTTTTGAACTGCAATTCTCAGATTTCACCCTCTTGAGTAGCTAGGATTATAGGTGTGAGCCACCAGCACCTGGCTAATTTTTCCTTTTTTTTTTTTTGTTGGTCATGGGGCTTGAACTCTAGGCCTGGGCGCTGTCCCTCAGCTCTTCAGCTCAAGGCGAGCGCTCTACCACTTGAGCTTCAGCACCACTTCCGGTTTTCTGGTGGTTTATTGGAGATAGGAGTCTCACGGTCTTTCCTGCCCAGGCTGACTTTGAACCGTGATCCTCAGATCTCAGCCTCCTGAGTAGCTAGGATTACAGACATGAGCCACCAGCGCCCGGCTTGATAATTTTTCCTTTTTATGATTGCCTAATCTTTTTTTTTTTTTAATTGGGCTGGTCCTAGGGCTTGAACTCATAGCCTGGGCACTGTGTATCATTTGAGCTACAGCTCTACTTCTGACATTTTTGGCGTGTTTTAGAGTCAAATGGACTTTTCTCTCTGGGCTAGCTTCAAACTATGATCCTCTGATCTCAGCGCCCTGAGTAGGATTACAGGCATGAACCACCAACACCTGCCTTAAACATTTAAGTTTTTTAAAATCATTTTTTAAATTTATTTTTTATTTTTTGTTGGTCATGAGGCTTAAACTCTGGGCCTGGGCACTATCCCTGAGCTCTTCAGCTCAAAGTGAGCGCGTTCTACTGCCTGAGCCAGAGCACCACTTTTGGTTTTCTGGTAGTTAATTCGAGATAAGAGTCTCACAGGCTTTGCTGCCTGGACTGGCTTTGAATCGTGATCCTCAGATCTCAGCCTCCTGAGTAGCTAGGTTACAGGCGTGAGCCACCAGTGCTTGGCTAAAATAATTTTTATTACAGATTATTATGTTATCACATACACCAGTAAATCATGGTTGTTTATTTTTTCTGTACGTTAATCTTGGTATTAGATCACAGTTTGCTGCTTAGGAAGTAACTTGATAGATTGATACTGGTGATTGGTACAGTAAAAACTTTTAAAACAACTCAGTTGGGTAAGTAGTTGTATTAGTTTAGTGATTTTTTTTTTCCTGTTTGATTTTTTTTTTTTCTTTACAGTGAAGCCTGTCTACAATTTTCACAAATCTGTATCCTTTCAATGAAGTACTGGAGTTTTTTGTGTGCAAACGTATACACATGCTGCATTTTACTTTTGTTTTTTTGCCAATTCAAAATTTAGAAGTTTAGAGCTGGGAATGTGGCTTAGTAGGAGTACTTGCCTCACATACATGAAGCCCTGGTTTTGATTCCTCAGCACCACAAAAACAGAAAAAAGCTGGAAGTGGCACTGTAGTTCAAGTGGTAGAGCGCTAGCCTTGAGCTGAAGAGCTCAGGGACAGCACCCAGACCTGAGTTCAAGCCTCACGACCAACCGAAAAAAGTTATTCTTTTAATCTTGTTTGTGGAAACTTTATATTACGAAGTTTTTTTCCAGGGAAAGCAATATGGGGCAGTTGAGATGTTAGAAGGAGTAGGCAAGGCAAGATATATGTAATAGCAAGATGGATATAAAAGAATAGAGGAAAATGTTCTTTACTCAAATGTGCTGTGCAAATTATGTGTCAAATTAGGAGTTATAAATATTACAGGTTGTATTATGAAAATAAAGATTTACTTTATCAATAGCACTTTATAAAACCTTTTATTTCACATGAATTGTTAGACTTAATCAAACCGTACAGATCCTGTAGTATGTATTCCATCCAGTTTCTTTATTGGAGACAGTGGAATTCCTTTGGAAGTAATAGCAGGAAGCGTTTCGGCAGAAGAACTTGTTGCAAGAATTCACAAAGTCCGACAGGTGAGCAGAAGTTAAACTGTTCTTTGCATAAATGTATAGGGAAAAATTCTTAAGAATTTTGACACCGGGATGTTATTGGATCCCCCTATATACTCAAAAATTTGCTATTCCATTAAACTTCCTTTTTTCTCCTTCTTCCCTTCTTTACTTCTCCATCTCTTTTTTTTTTGTACGTTTTGCTTGCTTTTGGTGGGACTAGGTTTCACTATGCTCTAGATTGATCGTGCAACTCTGTATCAAGATGGCCTTAAACTCTCTTTTTTGGGGGGATGGGAGGGACAGTCCTGGGGCTTGAACTCAGGGCCTGGGCACTGTCCCTGAGCTGCTTTTGCTCAAGTCTAGCACTCTACCACTTGAGCCACAGTGTCACTTCCAGCTTCTTCTGTGGTACTGAGGAATCAAACCCAGGGTTTCATGCATGCTAGGCAGGCATTCTACCATTAAGCCACATTCCCAGCCCCTGGCCTGAAACTCCAACTTCTTCCATAGTCTTCTATGTGCTGGGATTGTAGGTGTATACCATCACTCTTTGTTTATGTCATTAACCTTAAAAAGTAGTAAATAAAGCTTCCTGTATTTACAGAACTTTTTTTGTTTGTTTGAGTCAGAGTCACACTATGTTTTCTGGGCGGGTCTCAAATTCCTGAACTCTAGTCTTAGCCTTCTGAGTAGTAAGCATTTGAGGCTGGCTGGAACTTGAGATCATTCTGCCTCAGCCTCCTAAATGCTGGGATTACAGGTCTCTGGATTAGTTTTGAAAATAGTATTATGAAGATAGAGATAGCCCTGTATCTCAGTTATCACTTGAATATTCTTTTTTCTCCATCCTAGTAGAAAGTTGTAGGAGAGTTCCTGACACATCAAGATTCTAGCTATACATTGGTTCATATAATAGCTTATAGCTTGAATTCTGATTTGAAAGGAATTCTAGTTTTGTGTGTGTGTGTGTTTTAGAAATCTAGTTTTTTAATTTAAAAACATTTTTTTCAGGGATAATACTAAGGTTGAACTCAGGGCCTTGAGCTCTTTTGCTTGACTTTGTTGGTTTTCTTTACCATTGGTATTCTACTACTTGAGCCACACTTCCAGTTACACAGTTTTGCTGATTAATTAGAGATAGTCTTACAGAAATTTCTGACTGAGTAGGCTTCAGCCACTCCAACCTGACATTCTTTTTTTGTTGTTGTTAATTAGCATACGTTAGAAATACCAGAGGATTTTATTGTTTTATTTCCACACATGTGTACAGTGTAATCCAATTGATGTCCCCCACTCTATCATTCTCCCTTACTCTCCACCCCCTAGTACAGTTTCAAAAGGTTTCATTGTCTTTTTTGTCCTTTTTTTTTGGTCAGTCGGTCATGGGGCTTAAACTCTGGGCCTAAGCTACCCCTCAGCTCTTCAACTCAAGGCGAGTGCTCTACCACTTGAACCACAGCACCACCTCTGGTTTTCTGGTGGTGTATTAGAGATGAGTCTCACAGACTTTTCTGCCTGGGCTAGCTTTGAACTACAATCTTCAGCTTCCTCAGTAGCCAGGGTTACAGGCATGAACCACCAGCACCTGGCTTCATTGTCTATTTTTGTACATGCAGACAGACTACTTATTCATCTTTGTTTATCCTTCCTGTTGTTCTAATCCTTTCCTGCAAGTACCCACCCCCCAAGAGAGGTTATTCATGCATGCATGTCCATGAATATATATGTAATTTTTTAACGAGATTTTGTACTGAGTTCCATAGTGATCACATTAGTGTACATTCCCACCAACAGTGTATGAATTTCACCAATATTGATATTTTGTTTTTAATGATTGACATTCTGAATGGGATGAGATAAAATCTTAATTTGGTTTTGACTTGCATTTCTTTTATGGCTAAGGGTGTTAAGTATTTTTTCATGTATCAGCTATTTTCATGTATCAGCTATTTCCGAGAACTGTCCAGTTCGCTTGTCAATTTATTAATTGATTATTTGTTGTTATGCTGTTTAGTTTTTTGAGTTTTTTGTATTCCAATTTGTTTGCTCCTCAGATGCATTTACTGAAAGGTGAAACATCAGTGGCAAGTGGCAGCCAGTCAGAAAGTCCAATGTCTACTTCATTTGCCTCATTTGAACCTAACAGCACTTCTGAAAATTCTCAGTCAAGAAACACAGGTTGTAAGACATCACCTACTTCTAATACAAACCTAGATACTGCAACAGGTAATTTTTTTCTCTTTGAGACAGCATCTCACTATATAGCACAGTCTAGTCTCCAACTTCAGAGTTCTTTTGCTTCTACCTCCCAAATGCTGGAATAATAGGTACATATTATCACGCCTAGCTTCAATAGTTGAGCCTTTTTATACTTTTTTATGTACAGTAAAAGTATTGCTTTATTTCATTTTAAAGGACAGGGATTGAGGCTGGAGGTAAGGTTCCAGTGGTTGAAGTGCCTGCCTAGCTAACATGAAGTTCTGAGTTCAAACCTCATTTCTGCTAAGAAACCAACTAATCATACAAAAGAAAACCAAGATAAAGGATACAGCTTAGTTCAGTGATGGGTCACTTTTGTAACATAGACAAACTCTAGATTTGATGCCCAGCACTACTTATAAAAAGTTCAGGCCCCATGACCAACAAAAAAAATAATAATAATAAAATAAAAAAAAAATAAAAAGTGCTTTGAGGGCTGGAAATGTGGCTTAGTGGTAGAGTGCTTGCCTACCATTCATGAAGCCCTGGGTTCGATTCCTCAGAACCACATAAACGGAAAAAGCCAGAAGTGGTGCTGTGGCTCAAGTGGTAGAGTGCTAGACTTGGGACTGTGCCCAAGCCCTGAGTTCAAGCCCCACAACTGGCAAAACTTATTTTATTTATTTATTTTTTTTTTTTTGGGGGGGGGGGTCCAGTCGTGGGGCCTGAACTCTGGGCCTGGGCGCTGTCCCTCAGCTCTTCAGCTCAAGGCTAGTGCTCTACCACTTGAGCTACAGTGCCACTTCCGGCTCTTTTTTCTGCTTATGTGGTGCTGAGGAATTGAACCCAGGGCCTCATGCATGCAAGGCAAGCGCTCTACCACTGAGCCACCTTCCCAGCCAAACTTATTTTTTTAATTGTCATTTAACTTGAAATTTAAGTTAAAAATTTAGAGTGTTATTTATTAATTATATGGCAGAAAATAACATCAGTGAATGTGCTTTTTTAAAATTTCCTGAATAATAGTTTTATTACTTTGTTTTCCGTTAGTATAATAAAATGTGTGAGATAAGGACAGTTAGTATGAAGAAAGGTTTACATTAGCTCCTAGTTGAGGAAGTTTCAGTTCATCATCAGTTGACTCCATTGCTTTGCCTTGTGCCTGACAAAGCTATTTATGTTAGGCCAGGAAGCAAAAGGAAGAAAGCAAGCAAAAGAGACTAAGACCTGCAGTCTCCTTTGAGTGTAAGACCTTCCACTGGCCTTGACCTCCTTTTTTTTTTTCCTTGTACTAGGATTTGAACTTAGGACCATCTACTCACTTGTCTTGTTTGTTCACTGTTGCCCTACTACTTGAGCCATATCTTCAGCTTGGCTTTTTGCTGTTTTATTTTTATTATGAATGTGCCTTTTTACTCTGAGATAGTCTGTGGCTCAAAATAGTTGATTAGTCTTTTTTTTTTTCTACTGGACCACATTTTATTTGTGGATAGTTACTAAGACTTTATTAAATAAAGGCCCCAGGCCTTGCTGTACATTCTCTTTCTTTTTGTAAATTTTTTTATTATTACATACTTATTACATAAGTCAGGTAAAAAGTACATATCTTTTTGGACAATGTCACTGCTTCCCTCATTTTTTTTCTAATGTATGTAGTTCAGGAAATGTCATTATGACAATTAGCAATTTTATTACTCCATGCCTAGAGGATTTTGAGTGGATCAGATGAGCTGCTATCTTTGGAATTGTTTTTACAAATGTCTAACATGCTGTACAAGCCAGACACTGGTGGCTCATACCTGTAATCCTAACTCAGGAGGTTGGGATATGAGGATCATTATTCAAAGCCAGTCCAGGCAGGAAAGTCTATAAAATTCTAACCTCCAGTTAACCACCAGAAAACAGGAAGTGTTGCTGGATCGAAGTGGTAGAGCACAATCTTGGACAAAAGAGCTCAGGGGACAGCGCACCCAGGCCCTGAGTTCAAGCCCCATGACCGACAAGTGCATGCTTAAAAAAAGTCTGTTCTTTTTTTTTTTTTCTTCTCTTCCTGCTTCCCTTGTTTTAGTGCTGGTTTGGGGTTTGAACTTAATGACTCATGCTCATGCATGAGATGACTTTATTGCTCATGACTGGCACTCTACCACTTGAATAATGCCTACAGTCTGGAAAATTGTATTTCTTTTTTTTTTTTTTTTGGTCAGTCGTGGGGCTTGAACTCTGGGCCTGAACGCTGTCCCTCAGCTGTTCAGCTCAAGGCAAGTGTTCTACCACTTGAGCTACAGCGCCACTTCTGGCTTTCTGGTGGTTTATTGGAGATAAGAGTTTCACAGACTTTCCTGACTGGGCTGGGTTTGAACCATGATCCTCAGATCTCAGCCTCCTGAGTAGCTAGGATTACAGGCTTGAGCCACAGCCCCACTTCCAGTTTTCTGGTGGTTTATTGGAGAGTCTCATGGACTTTCCTTCCTGGGCTGGCTTTGAACTGTGATCCTCAGATCTCAGCCTCCTGAGTAGCTAGAATTACAAACATGAGCTACCGGCACCCGACTCTTGCACTATTCTTTCTTTTTTTTTTCTCTTTTGAAATTCTTTATTGTGATTAAGTGATAACATAATTTCCCAAATTTCACAGTTTTGTGGGATAGTGATGCTTAGTTAAAGTCACAAACACATTCTAACCTTCATGGAGCAAATTGTCTATCATAGTCTATGAGTTCTATGAGCTTTGTAATGCAGTTATCTCTTCCACATTGGGTGATATGTACATTTCTTTTGTTTTGCATAGTATCAGCTGTTCCCTCTTTCCCACTTGTTCCCTCCCTCCCATCGCTGCCTTTGAGTTGCTTAGTTCATTTTGATCAGTGTCCAGTCTTTAACTATTCTTATATAATACTTTTGTATAATGTTTAAGAAACAATCTCATGGGGCTGGGAAAGTGGCTTAGTGGTAGAGTGCTTGCCTAACATGCATTAAGCCCTGGGTTTGATTCTTCAGTACTACATAAACAGAAAAGGCCGGACATGGTGCTGTGGCTCAAGTGATAGAGTGCAAAAAAACCCAGCTAATGGACAGTGCCCAGGTCCTGAGTTCAAGCCCCAGTCCTAGCTAAAAAAGAAAGCAAAGAAAAAGAAACAAGCTCACTAACAAGTTTATCTTTAACCTAGAAGACCTAAACCCTTTAAAAAATTAAATGCAGGAGCTGGGAAGGTGGTTCAGTGGCAGAGCACTTACCTTGCATGCCTAAGGCCCTGGGTTCGATTCCCCAGCACCACATAAGCAAAAGGAAAAAAGCCGGAAGTGGCGCTATGGCTCAAGTGGTAGAGTGCTAGCCTTGAGCTGAAGAGCTGAGGGACAGCGCCCAGGCCCAGAGTTCAGGCCCTACGACTGGACCCCAAAAAAAAAAAAAAATATATATATATATATGTATATATATATACATATATATATAAATTAAATGCAGTATTCTTTGTTTTCATTTTATAATTAAGGAGGAGAAAGTTCAAGCCATGTTCCTGCCTCTCAAGAGAATAATGGTTGTTCAAATGAGAGATCTGCAGAGGACCTCACCGTCAGAGTGGAAAGGTTTGTATTTTTGCAAGTTTTTTTTTTTGTTTGTTTTTTTGGTTTTTTTTTTTTTTTTTTGGTCATGGGGCCTGAAATCTGGGCCTGGGCGCTGTTTTCCAGCTCTTTAGCTCAAGGCTAGTTCTCTACCACTTGAGTCACTATGCTACTTCCAGTTTTTTCTGCTTCTGTGCTTCTGAGGAATCGAACCCAGGGCCTCATGCATGCAAGGTAAGCACGCTACCACTGAGATATCTTCCCAGTCCAGAATTTTTTTTTTTTAAATAGGTTTCTAGGGTTGGGTGCTGGTGGCTTACTCCTGTAATCCTAGCTACTTAGGAGGCTGAGATCTGAGAATCACAATTCAAAGCCAGCCCAAGCAGGGGGAAAGTCCATGAGACTCTTAGCTCCAATTAACCACCAGAAAACAGGAAGCGGCCCTGTGGCTCAAGTGTTAGAGTGCTGGCCTTGAGCTGAAGAGCTAAGAGGCCAGCACTCAGGCCCAGAGTTCAAGCCCATGACTAACAAAAAAAAATACATAAATAAATAGGTTTCTAGGAGCTGGGAATATGGCTTAGCAATAGAGTGCTTGCCTAGCATGCATGAAGTCCTGGTTTGATTCCTCAGTACCATATAAACAGAAAAAGCCAGAAGTGGTGCTGTGGCTCAAAGTGGTAGAGTGTTAGCCTTGAGCAAAGAAGCTCAGGGACAGTGCCCAGGCCCTGAGGTCAAGCCACAGGACTGGCCAAAAAAAAAAAAAGTTTTTAGTAATAATCATTAATTTGAATGCTAAAATTACAGAAGTAACGTTTTAGAATCCTGGATTGAACTGTTTGATATTCTGATTAATAGTGTTTATAAAAATTGCATTTTTATTTTTTTCCAGTCCTAGGGCTTGACCTCTGGGCCTGGGCCCTGTCCCTGAGCTTCTTTTGCTCAAAGCTAGCACTCTACCACTTGAGCCACAGCGCCACCTCTGTTTTTTTCTCTGTTTATGTGGTGCTGAGGAATCAAACCCAGAGCTTCATGCATGTTAGATAAGCACTCTACCACTGAGCCATATTCCTAACCCAGGTCTGATTATGTCTAAGAATCTCTCTTTTTTAAACAAGATATTTTGTTATGTTTGTGCTTCTATATATCATTTCTGCTTTTAACTATAAATGTCTTTTTCTTTTTCTTTTCTTTTTTCTTTTTTTTGGTTGGTTGTGGGTCTTGAACTTGAACTGGGCACTGTCCCTGAGCTCGTCCACTCAAGGCGAGCACTCTACCACTTGCGCCACAGCATGATTTCCAATTTCTAGTGGTTTATTGGAGATGACTTTCTTACCCCGGCTGGCTTTGAACTGCAATCCTCAGATCTCAGCATCCTGAGTAGCTAAGATTACAGGCATGAGCCACGAGTGCCTGGCCTAAATGTCAATTTTTATGAGCTATCTAATAATCACAATAGCTTCTGATTCTTCTCATTACAGGCATGAGTTGGGGCTAGTGGCTTATGCCTGTAATCATAGCTACTTAGGGAGCTGAGATCTAATGATTTAAGTTCAAAGCTAGTCTGAGCAGACAAATTTGAGATATTCTTGTCTCTGATTACCAGCAAAAAGCCAGGAGTGGAAGTGTGGAGTAAAGAAACTAATAAGCAAGAGCATAAGGCCAAGCTGGCATGACACTTGTAATTCTAGCTACTCGGGGAGGCTGAGATTTGGGAGTTGCAGTTCAAAGCCATCCCAGGCAGATGAATCCAAGAGACTTTTTTAAAAATTATTTTAATTGTAAAGATGTTGTACAGAGAGGTTATAGTTACATGAGTTAAGGTAATTATCAATTTCTTCTCGAACATTATTACCCCCTCCTTTGTTTTTTTCCTACAAGAGACTCTTATCTCAAATTAACTATCAAGCCAGGTATGTAAAGCTATCTATAAATCTATTTTTCACAGATGACTTAAAAGATAGAAACTGGTGTGGAAGGACGGGGAGCTGCATACCTTGATAAACTCTGAAATCATTGCTGCAACAAGGAAGTATACAATAAACAAGTGGTAGAGAAAGTTGTGGGAATTTTTTTTTTTGAGCAGCTAGAATTTGAGGTGTGGCTGAAGTGTTAGACTACCATCCTTGAGTTAGAAAAACCAAGAGTGAAAGGCCCTGAGTTCAGACCCCAGTACATGTGTACATACACTCACACACACCAACACACACACTCTTAGCCTTTTTATTTCAAGGTGAGTCAGGTGCTATTTAGTGCAGTGTAGAGGGCAGTTTCTGTTGTTATACAATGTTAACATCTTCCATTTTGACAGAATGTTGGCTGATACCTACCAACAAAATCATATCTGGGCTGGGAAGGTGGTAGAGCGCTTGCCTTGCATGCATGAGGCCCTGGGTTCGATTCCTCAGCACCACATAAGCAAAAAAGAAAAAAGCCGGAAGTGGCACTGTGCCTCAAGTGGTAGAGTGCTAGCCTTGAGCTGAAGAGCTGAGGGACAGCGCCCAGGCCCAGAGTTCAGGCCCCATGACCGGACCCCCAAAAAAATATATATCCTGATTATGAGTGAGGGTGTTTGTGAGTATGTGTGTCTGTTGGGTAACAGAGCTTGGGCCACACATTTTTGTTGTTTTATCAAAATTGGAGCTCTACTATTTGAGCCATGCCTTAACTTCCAGGATTTTACTGGTTAACTGGAGATAAGAATCTCATAGGCTTTTCTGGCTGTGGTAGCTTCATACCTTGATAGTCTCTTGAACAGCTAGGATTTAGAAGCCTGAACCATCAGTGCCTGGACACTGTTCCAGAGCTTTTGTGCTACCCGAAGCTTTTTTTTTTTTTTTTGGGGGTCCGGTCGTGGGGCCTGAACTCTGGGCCTGGGCGCTGTCCCTCAGCTCTTCAGCTCAAGGCTAGCACTCTATCACTTGAGCCACAGCGCCACTTCTGGCTTTTTTCTTTTTGCTTATGTGTTGCTGAGAAATTGAACCCAGGGCCTCAGGCATGCAAGGCAAGCGCTCTACCACTGAGCCACCTTCCCAGCCCTACCCGAAGCTTTTTGTACTCAAGGCTAACACACTATCACTTGAGCCCCAGCTTCACCTGCAACTTTTTTGGTGGTTAAAGATAAGAGTCTTACGGATCTTCCAGCTCCTGCCTAGTCTGCCTTTGTAACCACAATTATAAAATCTTGGCTTCCTGAGTAAGGATTACAGACTTGAGCCACCAGTGCCTGGCTGTGATTATAAGCATTTCAAATTCTTGTGGCTGAAATTCATTGATCAGATTAACCTATGCAACACATGTCTTTGTACTAATTCACAAGCTGAGTTTCTCCTTCATTTTATTAATCTGCACTTACAGCCTATAAGAATTTTTTTTTAATTGTTACTATAAATATGGTGTACAGAGGGGCTGGGAGTATGGTAGAGTGCTTGCCTAGCATGTATGAAGTCTTGGGTTCAATTCCTTAGTACCATATAAACAGAAAAGGCTGGAAGTGGCACTGTGGCTCTAGTGGTAGAGTGCTAGCCTTGAGCAAATGAAGTTCAGGGACACTGCACAGGCCCTGAATTCCAGCCCTAGAACTGGCAAAAATAAAAAGGGTAGTGATGTACAAAGGGGTTATATCACATAAGTCAGGTAAGTAGTATATTTCTTTTTTGACAGTGTTAGCCCTTCCCTCCCATTTTTTCCCTCCTGTCCCCATCCACAAGGTGTATGGTTCATTTTCAGCAGTGTTTAGTACCACTGCTGCTGTTTACCACAGAAATCTTAATGCTTTTTTTAATCTGACAGTCATATTTGTTAATAACACAATGCAAACCTGAGCCAATTGTCATTTTAGTTCATTATGCATTAAGGATTACTTTCATCTTCACAATCCATACTATAGACTGTGTGACATTCTAAACACCTATAACTAACTTTTTTTTTAAATTGTGAAAATACCGTACAGAGGGGTTACAATTACATGGGCAAGATAATGAGTACATTTCTTATCAAGCATTGTTGCCTCCTCCTTTGTTTCCCCTTCCCATCCCTTCCCACCTTCCCATCCCCCCATTCCCTCCCCTCCCCCCACCCCCCCACCACCGCCAAAGTTGTAAAGTTCGTTTTTCGACATAAGGACTTGTTCATCTCATTGTTGCAATGGGTCCACCTGTGTCCATATTTAAAGGATTTGTTTTTGCCCTTCCCCTCCACAAATTATACTAACATCAAATACAGTGAGAGCAGGGGTTATACCATGGGGGAGGGACATACAAAGCAACCTATAACTGATTTATCCTTTACCATTCCTCTGCAGAGCTGTTTCCCTACCTTATCAAAATGCTTTTTCTCAGCTCATGTGAATTGGACCCATAAATTCATATTCTGTAATATGTTTTAAAAAAATACAATGTACCAGGCACTGGTGGCTGACACCTATAATCTTAACTACTCAGGAAGCCGAGATCTAAGGATCACAGTTGGAAGCCAGACCAGGTAGAAAATTCCATAAGACACTTAACTCCAGTTAACCACCAGAAAACTGGAAGTGGCACTCTGCCTCAAAGTGGTAGAATGCTAGCTTTGAGTGAAAAAGCTCAGGGACAGTGCCCAGCCCCTGAGTTCAAGCCCCACAACTGACCAAAAGAGAAAAACAATAAAACTACCTGCTTTGTACATCACCTTTATAATATCAATTAAAAAAATTTAAATATAGGATCAAGTAGTATGAAGCTAAATTCATGCTTTTAATTTTTTATTATAAAGGTGATAAAAGGATTATACTTAGGTAAGTCAGGTTATGAGTATATTTATTTTTTTTTTTTAAATCCTCTTTTTTTTTTTTTTGGGTCCGGTCCTGGGGCCTGAACTCTGGGCCTGGACGCTGTCCCTCAGCTCAAGGCTAGCGCTCTACCACTTGAGCCACAGCGCCACTTCCGGCTTTTTTCTGTTTGCTTATGTGGTGCTGAGCAATCGAACCCAGGGCCTCATGCATGCAAGGCAAGCGCTCTACCACTGAGCCACCTTCCCAGCCCCTTTTTTTTTTTTTGGGTCCGGTGGGGCCTGAATTCTAGGCCTGGGCGCTGTCCCTCAGCTCTTCAGCTCAAGGCTAGCACTCTACCACTTGAGCCAGAGCGCCACTTCTGGCTTTTTTCTTTTTGCTTATGTGGTGCTGAGGAATTGAACCCAGGGCCTCGGGCATGCAAGGCAAGTGCTCTACCACTGAGCCACCTTCCCAGCCCTAATTTTCTTGTCTTTTACCATTGTGTTTGTTTATAGCTTTCTAGACACAATTACTACAAATGAGGGGAAACCATCAACCTATATTTCTTTGGGTTTGGCTTTGCTTAATATAATTTTTTCCAAGTCTTTGCATTTCCTTACAATGGTGCAATATCATTCTTTCTGATGGAAGCATAGAATTTGATTGTGTGTGTACATATGTATATATACACACACACATATATATATTTGTATACATATATACATGTATATGTGTGTGCATATGTATATGTGTGTGTGTGTGTATACACACACACACACACACAATCACTTTTCTTGATCCATTCATCCACTAAGGGGCACCTGGGCTAAAGCCTTAAAGAGAGACTTCTCAGAAGATGTAAAATGGCCAATAGACACATGAAGAAATGTTCAACATCTTTGGCCATAAAAGAAATGCAAATCAAAACAACATTGAGATTCTACCTTAACCGCAGTTAGAGTGGCCATTATCAAGAAAAATAACAGATGCTGGTAGGGATGTGGCCAAAAAGGAACATTAGTACATATGGTAATATAAACTTGTTCAATAATTCTGGAAAGCAGTCTGGAGGGTCCTCAAAATACCCAGCAATTTGACTCCTGGGCATTTATCCAATATCCCACAAAGTTACACTAAAGCTACCAGTATAACCATTTCAGCGTTGTTTGTCTTAGCCAGAATATGGAATCAACTCAGTCTCTTGAGTAGCTAGGATTACAGGTATTGGTGACAACTGGCTTTTCTGTCATTTTCTTGGTACTCAGATTGTGTGCATACACACAAGAACTCAGAGCTTTGTGCTTTAACTTAGCTTTATTGCTCAAGGCTGGTGTTCTTCTCTTTGAACCATACATTAGCTTACAACATTTTGCTGGTTAATCACAGATAAGAGTCTCAAAGACATTTCTGCTAGTTGGCTTCAAACTGTGATCCTCAGATTTTAGCCTCCTGAGTAGGTAGGATTATAGGCAAGAGCCATCAGCTCTCAGCTTAGGCATTATTTTGTTCTTCCTATTACTTGAATCAGGAAGCAAATATAACCAGATATATGCATCAGTTTAGATGCAGTTATGATAATCAATTTAGTCATTTTGTTTGAATGTCAACTAGATATCTCCATTGTAAAGGTGTCCCTTTCTCTTTCTAATTATTGGAAATGCATACAGTGACTCATACCTGTAATCCTAGTTACATAAGGAGGATGAGCTCTGAGGATAGCAATCCAAAGCCAGCCCAGGCAGGAAAAATTATTTCTTTTAAATTTATAAGCTAGGGGCTGGAAAGGTGGCTCAGTGGTAGAGCGCTTGCCTTGCATGCTCGAGGCCCTGGGTTCGATTCCTCAGTACCACATAAGCAAAAAGAAAAAAGCTGGAAGTGGCGCTGTGGCTCAAGTGGTAGAGCACTAGCCTTGAGCTGAAGAGCTGAGGGACAGCGTCCAGGCCCAGAGTTCAGGCCCCACGACCGGGCCCAAAAAAAATAAAAAATTTATAAGCTAGCATTCTTCTGTAGAGAAATATTTTAAACCACAACTCTTCCCCATCTTTTCCCTCAGTAAACGTTTACTGATTATTTTAGTTTGCATTTATTAAAAAGCCTCTAAATCACTATTCTCCCTCAGTCCTTTGTAAACTCTTTGTGTGTTCCAGTCAGTCCTGAGGCTTGAACTCAGAGCCTGGGCACTGTCTGCCACTTACGGTTTTCTGGTAGTTAATTCGAGATAAGAGTCTCAGACTTTCCTACCTAGACTGGCTTTGAACCGCAATCCTCAGATCTTAGCCTCCTGAGTAGCTAGGATTATAGGCATGAGCCACCAGCAGCGCTGCTTCTTTTTTTTTTTTTGCCCAAGGTTAGTGCTCTATCACCTGAGCCACAGCTCTGCCTCTGGCTTTTTTGGTGCTTAATTGGAGGTAAGAGTCTCACAGGCTTTCTTGCCTGGTCTGGCTAAAAACTGTGATCCTCAAATCTTAGCCTCTTGAGTAACTAGGATTATAGGCATGAGTCACTGGCATCTAGCAAAACAAAACTCTTCAATGTGTTGTATAATAATGTATCTTGAATATATTTTATTTTAAATACAGATTAACAAAAAAGCTTGAAGAGAGGAGAGAGGAGAAGAGGAAAGAAGAAGAACAGGTAAAGTTGTTTGATTTGGCAAAGCTAAAATGATTTCCTAGTTATTGTTGACTGTTGGAGGGAATATGTTGTCTGTATATTCAGATTGTAGTTTGTGTATTTTAGTTATGTATGGTTGTTGGTTGTATTTTAGAGGCAAAATCTTACTTTTTAGTCCAGGCTAGCTTTGAACTCCCAGGTCTCCTGCTTTAGCCTCCCAAAGTGCTATGATTACAGGCATGCAGCACTATGCCTGGCTATGTCCTGTCTGTAAGTTGCAAGGTAAGTTGGGTCTTCTTTTTTTTTTTACAGATTGATGGAGGAATATTTATTTATTTTTTGGATTAAACCCAGAGCTGATCAGTCTTGCTATGCAGTAGCCAACCTCTGAAGTAATTCCCCCAAGCCTCTTTGTTTTCTGTGACACTGAGATTTGAATTCTGGGCCCTAGGCTCACTAGGTAATTGAGTCATACCTCCCCCACTTTTTCTTTTGGTTAGTCATGGGGCTTGAACTCTGGGCCTGGGCGCTGTCTTTCAGCTCTTCAGCTCAAGGTGATCACTCTACCACTTGAGCCACAGCACCACTTCGATTTTCTGGTGGTGTATTGGAGATAAGAGTCTCTCAAACATTCCTGCCCAGGCTGCCTTTTAACTGCGATCCTCAGATCTCAGCCTCCTGAGTAGCTAGGATTACAGGCGTGAGCCATCTGTGCCTGGCGCTCCTCCCCTACTTTTTCTTGTTTGAGATGGCTCTCACTATATAGCACTATATAGCTCAGCTTAGCCTTAAACCGAGGATCTTGCTTCAGCCTCTGGAGTGCTAGATTAGAAGTGGAAGCCATTGTACCCATCTCAAGGTTTAATTTTTTTTCAAAAGAGAAAATACATAAACATTGAGAACAAAAAAAAAATCCCCAATATTTTATTGGAAGCTAGTGTTCCTTAGTGAGTTGGGTCTTCTTTACAGTCAGTCTTTTACACTTTACTTGAGGCAGTTCCTATTTTTTAGTTCTTTGTTTAAAAAAAAAAAAATGTAGAATTCTGATTTTTTTTCTATTGTGTTGCCTTGTCTTTTTTATTTTTTATTTTATTTTTTGTCGGTTGTAAGGCTTGAACTCTGGGCTTGGGTGCTATCCCTGCGCCCTTCAGCTCAAGGTGAGCGCTCTGCTACTTGAGCCACAGCACCACTTCCGGTTTCCTAGTAGTTTTTTGGAGATCAGAGTCGCATGGACTTTCCTGCCCGGACTGGCTTTGAATCTCGATCCTCAGATCTCAGCCTCCTGAGTAGCTAGGATTACAGGTGTGAGCTACCGGCTCCTGGCTCTTTTTTATTGTTGTTGTTGGTGGTGGTGGTGGTCATGGAGCTTGAATGTAGGGCCTGGGCACTGTCCCTCAGTCTTCAGATCAAGGCAAGTGCTCTACCACTTGAGCCACAGTGCCACTTCTGGTTTTATGAGGTTTTTTTTGTGTTTTTTTTTTTGTTTTTTTGTCGGTAGTGGGGCTTGAACTCTCGGCCTGAGCGCTGTTCCTCAGCTCTTCAGCTCAAGGCTAGCGCTCTACCACTTGAGCTACAGTGCTACTTCTGGTTTTCTGGTGGTTTATTGGAGATCTGAGTTTCATGGACTTTCCTGACTGGGCTGGGTTTGAACCGTGATCCTCAGATCTCAGCCTCCTGAGTAGCTATGATTACAGGTGTGAGCAGCCACCGGCGCCTGGCTTTTCATGGTGGATTTTTGGAGATGAGTCTCACGGACTCTACCATTTTGAACCACAGCTCCACTTTGGAGTTTTTGAGTAGTTAATTGGAAGTAAGAGTCTTACAGGGACTTTTCTGCCTGGGTTGGCTTCAAACTGTGACCTCAGATCTCAACTCCTGAGCAGCCAGGATTACAGGCATGAGCCACTAGCACTGGCTCAAGTGTCGGGTTCTTTTAACACTATCATCAGCTTGCCCTACATTAAAAGTAATGTCTGGAACAAATTATCCAAAAATGTTTAGGTTCCATAAAATTTATTTTGTCTTTGATTCAGAGAGAGATTAAGAAGGAAATTGAGAGAAGAAAAACTGGAAAAGAAATGTTGGATTATAAAAGAAAACAAGAAGAAGAATTAACAAAAAGAATGTTAGAAGAAAGAAATAGAGAAAAGGCAGAAGACAGAGCAGCTCGAGAGCGTATAAAACAGCAAATTGCGATGGTGAGTTTGTTCATTTATTTGTTCATCCATTCAGCATTTTTCTTTGTTTTGTCTTGTTATATAGCCCAAGCTAGCTAAGCTAGCTTGGCTTGTTTCCACTTTGGTGTCCCGAGTGCTGAGATTACAGGTGTATCCCACTGCACTGACTTCTTTTACATTTTTTATTAGCATATACTATTTGTTTTTGGGGGGGTTTTTTGTTTTATTTTTTTTGGGTCCGGTCGTGGGGCCTGAACTCTGGGCCTGGGCGCTGTCCCTTAGCTCTTCAGCTCAAGGCTAGTGCTCTACCACTTGAGCCACAGCACCACTTCCGACTTTTTTCTTTTTTTGCTTATGTGGTGCTAAGGAACTGAACCCAGGGCCTCAGGCATGCAAGGCAAGCGCTCTACCACTGAGCCACCTTCTCAGCCCTAGCATATACTATTTGTACAGAGTAGATTCATTTTGATAATTCCATACATCCATGTAAGGTAATCAAATTCACCTCCTCTGTTACTCTCCCTCTTATCTTCCTACCATTTATGCCCTTTTATTTTTCCCCTAAATTTTCAGTACTACCCATGTGCATGTGCACATGTACATATGTGCTTGATACTATACCTCAGCTTCTTTTTCTTCTCATGGTTATTGCTTACAGCTCTATTGCCAGCTTTTAGTTAGTTATTTAGAGATAAGTCTCAATCTTTCTTGCCTTGGCTGGTTTCAAGCTCTGCTCCTCAGATCTCAGCCTCCTGAATACCTAGGATTATAGGCATGAGCCACTGGCATCTAGCTAATAGTAACTTGATTTCTGACATTTGATGAATTTTAAAAATACATGATCAGGAATGATCAAAGTTTGTATATAGCTTTAAGGAATTTCATGCTTTTTTGTGTTTATTGCCTTTGTTTAAAAGTATGTAAATAGCTCTTTCTGGCAGTCAAAGATAATTTATAACTAATGCTGTTTTAATTGAAAGGATCGTGCAGAGCGAGCTGCTCGTTTTGCAAAGACAAAAGAAGAAGTAGAGGCTGCCAAAGCTGCTGCTGCCTTGTTGTCCAAACAGGCAGAAATGGAAATCAAGAGGGAATCATATGCACGAGAAAGAAGGTATTTCTCTCTTTTTTCTTTTTGTGACAGTCACGGGGCTTGAACTCTGAGCCTGAGCACTGTCCCTCAGCTCTTCAGCTCAAGGCTAGCACTCTGTCACTTGAGCTACAGTGCCACTTCTGGTTTTCTGGTGGTTTATTGAAGATAAGAGTTTCATGGACTTTCCTGCCCAAGCTGGGTTTGAACTGTGATTCTCAGATCTCAGCCTCCTGAGTAACTAGGATAACAGACATGAGCCACTGGCGCCTGGCAAGAAGGTATTTCTTGATGTGTATCATCCTGTTGTAATCAAAAATTACTTTTTTGGGGGGTGTTACTTGGGCTTGAGCTTGGTCACCAACTTGATAGGCTGGTACTCTTAATGCTAAGCCAATTCTCTAGCCCTTTTTTTTTTTTTTTGGTGCCAGTCCTGGGGCTTGAACTTAGGACTTGGGCACTATCCCTGAGCTTCTTTTCCTCAAGGTTAGCACTCTACCATTTGAGCCATAGCACCATTTCTGTTTTCTGTTTGTATGGTACTGAGGAATCAAACCCAGGGATTTATCCATGGAGGGCAAGTACTCTACCACTAAGTCATATTCCCAGTCCTTTTACTGGTTATTTTTGAGACAGGGTCTGGTTTCCTTCCTGGTCATATATCTACTTTGTTTCTCAATGCAGCTAGGGATTGATTGATTGAATAGGTGTATACCTAGCTCTTCCCTTGAATGACAGTTCTACTACTTTCAGCTTCTCGAGAAGTAGGAGCATATGTACATGCTGTTCGAACCTGGTGTATGGATTACTTTATAGAAACAAATTTTGAAGCCGGGCACTGGTGGCTCACGCCTGTAATCCTAGCTACTCAGGAGGCTGAGATCTGAGGATCGCGGTTCAAAGCCAGCCCGGGCAGGAGAGACGGTGAGACTCCTATCTCCAATAAATCACCAGAAAACCGGAAGTGGCGCTGCAGCTCAAGTGGTAGAGTGCTCGCCTTGAGCTGAAGAGCTGAGGGACAGCGCCCAGGCCCAGAGTTCAGGCCCCACGACCGACAAAAAAAAAAAAAAAGAAATTTTGAAAATAATGGAAAATACTTGGTAAGTTAAACAACGTGTAACTCTTGAACAGTAAGAAGTTCAAAATAGGCTGGGTGCCAGTGGCTCATGCTTGTAGTCCTACTCAGGAGACTGAAATTTGAGGATTGTGGGTCAAAGCCACCCTGGGTAGAAAAGTCCAAAGACTCGTCTCCAATTAGCCACTAAAAATGCTGAAAGTGGAGCTTTCTTGCCTTGAGCAAGAAAGATCAAGAGCAGAACACAGGCCCTGAGGCCCCAGGACCATCACAAAAACAAAGTGCAAAATGTTACGAAAAGTCCCAAATACACATAAAATGTTCCATCTGCATATCTCAGAATAATATTAAAATACTACTGTTCTCCATACTGACCTTATGAGTTAACATAATCACTGCTGAAACTTCAGTTGACCTTTTTTTCATATGAAAATAGAGGAGAACTAGAGTAATCATAACAATCTAGGGAAAAAATGAACAAAGGGGGCACCACACTTAGTTGTTTTTGTCTTTTTTTGTGTTTGTGTGTGCCAGTCCTGGGTCTTGAACTAGGGGGCCTGAGCTTTTTTGCTCAAAGCTAGCATTCTGCCACTTGAGCCACAGCTTCATTTCCTTGCTTTTGGTGCTTAATTGGATATGAGAGTCTCACAGGCTGTGTAACTTTCCTGAGTGAGCAGGCTTTGAACTGTAATGCCAGAATCTTAGCCTCCTGAGCAGCTAGGATTACATGGATAAATCACTGGTGCCCCAGTTACCACACTTAATTTTAAAACTTTAAAATGTACTATATTGCTGAGTGCTGGTGGTTTATGCCTATAATCCTAGCTACTCAGGAAGCTGAGATCTGAGGATCTCAGTTCAGAGTCAACCCAGACAAGAAAGTCAGTGACTCTTACCTCCAGTGGCTCAAGTAGTACTCTGAGTGCTAGCTTGAGCAGTTCATAGACAAAGCCCAGGTCCTGAGTTCAAGCCACAGGACAGCAAAAGAATAATAATAAATGAAAAGTTGTAACATTGTGCATTTCTACATTCATTTCCTCTGATAATGATACTATTGAGAATATATAAGGTTAAAATACTAACTTTAATTTCCTTTTCATAGCACTATTGCAAGAATTCAATTCCGTTTACCTGATGGGTCTTCCTTTACAAATCAATTTCCTTCTGATGCTCCACTAGAAAACGCAAGACAGTTTGCTGCACAAGTGAGTATATATCTTGAGTTATAGTAAGGATAAATGGTGAAGTTATTAAAATGTTAGAAAGGAAATTTCAACTTGGAATGTGAGTAAATCTTATATTACCTCCAAGTGAAGTGGATTTGGCATAAGATACCTCTGAGATACTGTGTAACATGTCTTTTTTTTTTTTTTTTTGGTCCAGTCATGGGGCTTGAACTCTGGGCCTCAGCGCTGTTCCTGAGCTCTTCAGCACAAGGCGAGCATTCTTCCACTTGAGCCACTGTGTCATTTCTGGTTTTCTAGTAATTAATTGGAGATAAGAATCTTACTGGGAAGGTGGCTTAGTGGTAGAGTGCTTGCCTTGCATGCATGAGGCCCTGGGTTCGATTCCTCAATACCACATACGCAGAAAAAGCCGGAAGTGGCACTGTGGCTCAAGTGGTAAAGCACTATCCTTGAGCTGAAGAGATAAGGGACAGTGTCCAGACCCAGAGTTCAGGCCCCACGACCGGGGAGGGGAATAGAGTCTCACAGACTTTCCTCCCTGGACTGGCTTTCAACCATGATCCTCACATCTCAGCCTTCTGAGTTGCTAGGATTACAGGCATGAGCCATCAGTGCCCAGCTGTCTTTTTTTTTTTAAAGTGCATCTGGGAAGAGCATATCTTTCTATTATACAAAAATAGGAATTTGTTGATAGTATACAATAGGCTCTGGAAACTTACTGTTGGTATATTAAACAGGAAGAGAGCAAAGCAATGGTTTCCGAAAGGTCCATTGTCCCACACTCCTGAGAAGTAGCTTTTCTTAGTCCTCTTCATTTCTGTAGGTTGTTTAGAGACTAGCTATTTTTCCATCATCTGCCTATCAGCAAAGGCAGACGATTAGTGATTTTTAACAACTAACTTGTTTAGTTGTTCAACATGTTGATGGAAATGTGGCTTAAGTAGTAAAATTCTTGCCTAGCAAGTGTGAGGCCCTGAACTTAAAACCTCAGTACCATTAAAAATTATTAGACTAATAGATACAATGTGGCCCTACATGAAATCTAAACGTCTTGTGTAATTTTATTTTTTATTTTTTTATTTTTTATTTTTTTATTTTTTATTTTTTTGGGGGGGGGAGGTCCGGTCCGATCATGGGGCTGGACTCTGGGCCTGGGCGCTGTCCCTCAGTTCTTCAGCTCAAGCCTAGCGTTCTACCACTTGATCCACAACTCCACTTCCGGCTTTTTTCTTTTTGCTTATGTGGTGCTGAGGAATCGAACCCAGGGCCTCAGGCATGCAAGGCAAGCGCTCTACCACTAAGCCACCTTCCCAGCTCTTATTTTTTTATTTTTTTAATAAGTTTTTTTAATTGTAAAAATACTGTACAGAGGGGTTACAGTTACATGAGCAAGGTAATGAGTACATTTCTTATCAAGTGTTGTTGCCTCCTTTGTTTCCCCTTACCATCCCTCTTGTGTAATTTTATATTTAGTAATTTCCATCTGCCTTTTTTTTTCTTTTTTTGGTGGGGGGAGGGGGTGTCACTTTGTTTTGCCACTGCTAGGAATCAAACCAGGGCCTGGTACATGTAAAACAACTTCTTTACCCTTGGCCTGTAATCATTTTTATCCTGAATCATTTTTATCCTGAATATTTTTTGGAACTATATTCTTGCAATTTTGTGGTCATTGTTGATTTATGAAAGGCTTTGAAGCTGGGCGCCGGTGGCTCACACCTGTAATCCTAGCTACTCAGGAGGCTGAGATCTGAGGATCATGGTTCAAACCCAGCCCAGTCAGGAAAATCCATGAGACTCTTATCTCCAATAAACCACCAAAAAACTGGAAGTGGCGCTGTGGCTCAAGCAGTAGAGAGCTAGCCTTGAGCTGAAGAGCACAGGGACAGCGCCCAAGCCCAGAGTTCAATCCCCACGACCAACAAAAAAAATAAAAATAAGAGGCTTTAACTACTTTGAGCCAGGTGCCAATGGCTTGGTGCCTATAATCCTATCTACTTAGGAGGCTGAGATCTGAGGATTGCATTTTGAAACCAGTCTGAACAGGAAAGTCCATGAGAATCTTATCTCCAATAAATTAAAAAAAAAAAGTTGGAAGTAGAACTGAAACTCAAGTGGTACAACACTATCCTTGAGCAAAAGAAACTCAGGGATAGTGTATAGACCCAGTGTTCAAGTACCAGGACTAGTGCGTGCACACGCACGCGCACACACACACACACACACACACACACCACACACTACTTGGATATAATTGTTTTTCAGCTTACTTTTGAAACAGTTTTTTATAAGTTCATTCAGTTCACATTTAACTTAAAAGCAATTTTAATTAAAGCAATTGTTTTGAATGCATCTTAACGTCTTATTTTTATAACACCTTTAAAAGCTTTTAAACTTGTTTTCTTACAGACTGTTGGCAATACTTATGGTAATTTTTCATTAGCAACCATGTTTCCCAGAAGGGAATTTACCAAAGAAGATTACAAAAAAAAATTACTGGATTTGGAACTTGCTCCAAGTGCTTCAGTGGTACTATTACCAGTATGTATATGCAATTTTTTTTCTCTTACAGTATTCTGATTGTTCTTCTCTCAGTCATTTCTGAAAATTAGGTGTACTGTGAATAAAATCCATATCATTGAAAAATCAGATCAGGGACTGGGAAGGTGGCTCAGTGGTAGAGCGCTTGCCTTGCATGCATGAGCCCCAGGGTTCGATTCCTCAGCACCACATAAGCAGAAAAAGCTGAAGCCTTAAGCTGAAGAGCTGAGGGACAGCGCCCAGGCCCAGAGTTCAGGCCCACAAGCAAAAAAAAATTTTTTATATATATTTTTTATATTAACATAAAAATAGCATTAATTTTCAGGTATTATCCTATTGTTCTGAATATTATTTCAGAAAAATATTTTACTCTGATGAAGAAAAATAGATGGTGCCAGGGCTGGGGAGGTGGCTCAGTGGTAGAGCGCTTGCCTTGCATGCACGAGGCCCTGGGTTTGATTCCTCAGCACCACATAAGCAGAAAGAAAAAAGCCAGAAGTGGCGCTGTGGCTCAAGTGGTTGAGTGCTAGCCTTGAGCTGAAGAGCTGAGGGACAGTGCCCAGGCCCAGAGTTCAGGCCCACGACTGGACCCGAAAAAAAGAAAAATAGATGGTGCCAATGTCCCTTCTTAGGTGCCTAGGACAAGAGCTTGGACTTTGTGTTATAATCAGTGTGGTTTTCCCCACTCTAAATTAGAGCACCGTTCCCACAAAAAAAAAAAAAAAAAATATGGTAGGATTTCATTGTATTCACTGACGTTTGAAACCTTTATCAGCAAGAAAGACTTTAATTATCAGAGGTATTTCATGTGAGATTTTTTTCATAATACTTTGAGTTCACTGGGCACTAATGGCTCACATCTGTAATCCTAGTTACTCAGGTGGCTAAGATCTGAGGATCATGGTTTGAAGTAGCCTAGGCAGGAAAGTCCATGAGTTGCTTTTTTTTTTTTTTTCCCATGAAAAAATTAAACACCATGGGGCTGGGAAGGTGGCTCAGTGGTAGAGCACTTGCCTTGCATTCATAAGGCCCTAGGTTCGATTCCTCAGCACCACATGAGCAAAAAGAAAAAAGCCGGAAGTGGCGCTGTGGCTCAAGTGGTAGAGTGCTAGCCTTGAGGGACAGTGCCCAGGCCCAGAGTTCAGGCCCCACGACCTGACCCAAAAAATAAAAAAATTAAACACCAGAAAACCAGAAGGGGCACTGTGGTTCAGAAGGGGCACTGTGGTTCCAAGTGGTAAAGTGCTAGCCTTGAACCAAAGGGCTCAGGGTCAGCACTCAGGCCCTGAATCCAACCCCCATAATAAAAAAAAAAAATTCCTTACTCACCAATAAACACTACTTTGCTATAATGACTGTTAATGGGGAAAAAAGCAGTTCCAGGAGCTCCTAGAAGTTTATGTACACTTGGGAAATATCAAAGGCAATTTTATCCTCTTGCAGCAAATAAAACCAGTAGCAAGCACCTTCTGCAGATAATAAAACCAGGTCTAGAATCTTCAATGTGATGATTGTGCTAAAGTTATCTTTATTTAGGTTGTTTATTTTTTAATTCTTAGGCAGGACGGCCAGCTACATCTGTTGTACACTCTTCCAGTGGAGATATTTGGACCTTATTGGGGACAGTACTTTATCCATTCCTTGCCATCTGGAGATTGATTAGCAATTTCTTGTTTAGTAATCCTCCTGCACAGACTTCAGCAAGAGCAGCATCACCTGAACCTTTAAACTCTGCATCATCTAGCAAATCAGAAAAAAGGTAACTATTTTTGTTTTGTCCAATGTAAAATACTCAGATAATACCAAGTGTTTGGTTTGGTTTTTGTCAGTCGTGAGGCTTGAACTCTGAGCCTGGGTGCTGTCCCTGAGCTTTTCAGTTCTTCATCGCATGCTCTACCACTTGAGCTACATTACCACTTCTGGTTTTCAGAGTGGTTCATTGCAGATCAGAGTCACAGACTTTCCTGCCTGGGCTGGCTTTGAACCGCAATCCTCAGATCTCAGCCTTCTGAGTAGCTAGGATTACAGGTGTGAGGCATCAGTGCTTTTATTTTTTGGTAGGTCATGGGGCTTGAATGTAGGGCCTGGGTGCTGTCCCTGAGCTTTTTTACTCAAGGCTAGTGCATAAACACTTGAGCCACAGCTTCACTTCTGGCTTTTTGGTGGTTAATTGGAGATGAGAGTCTCACAGACTTTCTTGCCCTGGCTGGCTTTGAACCACTATCCTCAGATCTTAGACTCCTGAGTAGCTAGGATTATAGGTGTGAGCCACCTATACTTAGCTATTATATATATTTTTTTAAAGACTTTTTTTTTTCAAGGCAGGAGTAGTGGCTTAAGTAATGAGTGAAAAAGCTGAGTGAGAACATGAGGCCCTGAGTTACAGCTTCAGCTTCAGTACTATTAGTAGATACAGTTATCGCCCATAGACTTTTCTTTACATTGGATTTAAAAATAAAATGTACTAATAGAAGTTTGAAGGAATAGGTTTGTTATACTGTTTATATCACTGTTTTCATTTTATGTCAACATGTATCTTCTTTTATATCAGGGAACCAGTCAGAAAAAGAGTGCTGGAGAAACGAGGAGAAGATTTTAAAAAGGAGGGGAAGATATATAGATTGAGGACTCAAGATGATGGTGAAGATGAAAACAACACTTGGAATGGAAATTCTACTCAGCAGATGTAGTGCAATAAGTACAATATGTCAATAATCATTGTTTCTCTTACGATTTAATTCAACTAAAATTCTACTGGAGAAGTGGGTCTGCATTGTTTCCCAACTTACCTATAAAAAATTTCTTTATTCCTGCTTTATGGATGTGGGTTAGAGTTTAACTCAGAAAAGACAAAATGATTGGCTGCTAGGTTCTCGCATATAATAACCAACTGCTAGAAACCTAAAAAATTAAAAGGTTTGCCACATTCTCCATCAGCTTTTTAATTGTTTTCATAGATCTTTAGCCATGTGCTCTCACATGAAATATTTTGTTTAGAATACTTTTGCTTTAAGACTCATAAATCCACACAAAGTAAAGATATGTCACTAATGTGAATCTTCGAGAATTTTAACTAGCCAATCAGATAACATAGATTTAACTTTTTTTTTTCCTTTTCATCAGCTGCAAGTAATACCTTATAGTTTTTAAACTGAATAAAAAATTTTCCAAAGATCAGAAAGATCTGTAAGCATCTTTTGTTGTACGGGGCTCTGATGAGATCATATATCACTGAGTTTTTTTCCCCACAGTTATGTCCTAAAGCTATCTCAGCAAAATAACTGGTTACTTTTCTTTAAAAATCGCTAAACAATACAAGAATAATTTCTGGTACATGATGATTCCATATTACTGTCTGTCTTAGATCAGTGAGACATTATTTTGTTTGCATAACTTTAAGATCTTTGTCTTCATCTGATGCAAAATGGATGAAAACTTCTAAACTACAACTTAGTTATTTTTCTCTCACCTTTGTACTAAAGTTTTGTACTCAGCAATTACAGTTCTGTGACCTAAAGTACCTGTGGTATAGAATGAAGACACATCTTTACTCATTTGGTTATTGTTAACAACTTGAAAGATATTCTGAATCTGATCACATGCTTCTTTATGTATACTTTTGACACTAAACTAATAATGTTTTAAAAGGGAAGTAAGCATGATAGTCTGTGTTTTTAGATTGGAATGTATTCTTTAGTGTAAATGGACTCTGACTTCATTTTGTAATAGGAAAACCGTTTCTCAGCAAACTTTGTTTTTCATATAAATGACTTTTAAAAATGACAAAAGTCAGTGTTCACAAGCAACCAGTGAGACAGGCAGTGCTGTTGGTAGGAATGGAAATAATCTTTCCAACATAGTTGGAAACTAAATATTTCATACTCTCTGATGCAATAACTTTTTCTAAGGAATTATAGTGCAGACAAAGTTGAGGTTACATCTTAAGTGTATTTATCACTTAAAAACTGGACACAACTAAATGCCTCTGTAGAAATAATTTTTGGTGCAGAGAATTGGTACGATATTAAGTTAGTATATTTACTTGAGCTTTTGTTATGTGTTGGGGAAAAGCAGGATGTAGAGATGTAGGTACAATATGATCTCAGCCTTGTAAGTACATAATGTATGTATAAATAGAGCCATGTATTAATATATATGTATAAAAGAAAGAACAGCAAAACAGTAATGGCAAGAGTGGTTATATGTGATTGTAGTTTCTTTTTTATACCATGTTTTTCCAGTCATTCGCAGTGATATTTCCATAATTTAAAGAGTTTGAAAAAAATCTCAAATAAGCATTTCATTTAAAGTTATCTTTAAAAAGTGCAGCAATATGTGGCTTAAAGTCATACACAGATCAGTAGGATGTGAGTATACTAATAGTAACTATTAGGAATATATTTGGGGCTGGGAAGGTGGCTCAGTGGTAGAGCGCTTGCCTTGCATGCATGAGGCCCTGGGTTCAATTCCTCAGCACCACATAAGCAAAAAGAAAAAAGCCAGAAGTGGCACTGTGGCTTGAGTGGTAGAGCGCTAGCCTTGAGCTGAAGAGCTGAGGGACAGCGCCCCAGCCCAGAGTTCAGGCCCACGACCAGACCCCCAGACCAGACCAGACCCCCCCAAAAAAGGAATATATTTGCCAAAAATGAGTATCTCAAGTCAGTTTGTCTTGAAGAAGATAAAATCTTGGAGAAATGTACAGTAAGGAATATTTAAAAATGTTTGCAGAGACTCCCTCCTCAATTTTATCTTTTAAAGTACACATGGTAGGAAATCCAAAATGGTATATATAAGGACGTAAAATGAAAATGAAGCTCTCTCCTGACTTCTTACCCCAACTGCTTTTTCCCCAGAGGTGTTATCTATAACAGTTTCTTATGTAATTTTAAGAAGTTTTATGCATATATAAGCAAATATCTAATCTTTATTTTTAAATAAATGGGATTACACACATACACACAAATACCCTACTACCCTGGATCTTGCTTTTACACTTAGTTTTTTTTTTTTTTTTTTTTATTGTAAAGATACTATACAGAGGGTTACAGTTACATGAGTGAGGTAATGAGTACACTTCCTCTTGAACATTGTTACCCCCTCCATTGTTTTCCCCCTACCATCCCCTCCCTCCCTCCCTTCCCCGAGGTTCTTTTTTTTTTTTTTTTGTGATTAAGTGATTACATAATTTCAAAGTCACAAGTTCATTCTAACTTTCCTGGAGCAAATTGTCTATCACAGTCTGTAATATATAACAGTGCTCACATGTTATATACCATATTTGTGATCAGCAGCATGGGGATATTTAGTAGTGGTTCAACCAGATAAGCGGGAGTTCTTTGTTTCTTAAGTCCTGTTAGTTTTGTTGTATCACCTAACATTTTGGATTTAGCATCCACTTATCAGGGAGACCATGTACCGTTTGTCTCTTCGTTCTTGGCTTACCTCGCTCAACATGATTCCTTCTAGCTCCATCCATTTCCCTGCAAATGCCATTATTTTGTCATTTCTAATGGCTGCATAATATTCCATTGTATATAGATATCACAATTTTTGGATCCATTCATCTGTGGTGGGGCATCTAGGTTGTTTCCATATCCTAGCTATTGCGAACAGTGCTGCAATAAACATGGAGGTGCACGTGTCCTTGTATATTGGTTCCTGTTGTTCAGGGTAGATGCCTAGAAGTGGTATGACTGGGTCGTAAGGGAGGTCAATCTTTAGCTTTCTAAGGACCCTCCAGACTGCTTTCCAAAGTGGTTGTATAAGTGTACATTCCCACCAGCAGTGTAATAGGGTTCCTCTTTCTCCACATCCCCTCCAGCATTTGTCGTTGGCTGATTTGTGGATGTGGGACATTCTGACTGGGGTAAGGTGGTATCTCAGGGTTGTCTTTATTTGCATTTCCTTCACCACCAGGGATGATGAACATTTCCTCATGTGTTTCTTTGCCATTTTTATTTCTTCATTTGAGAAGTCCCTCTTTAGTTCCCTTGCCCATTTAGTAATTGGTTTGTTAGGTTTGGGAGGGATTAGTTTCTTGAGTTCCCTGTATATACAGGATGTTAACCCCTTGTCTGATATATTGCTGGTAAATATTTTTTCCCAATTAGTTGGTTGTCTTTCTAGCTTAGTTGCGATAGATTTAGCTGTGCAGAAGCTTTTTATTTTAAGGTAGTCCCATTTGTCGAGTCTCTCTCCAACTTGTTGTGACCCTGGGACTCTGTTCAGGAAGTTCCTTCCTGTGCCTATTAGTTCAAGTGTCTCTCCTACTCTGTCCTGCAGTACTTTCAGAGATTCAGGTTTAATGTTAAGGTCTTTAATCCATTTTGAGTTGATGTTGGTGCATGGTGATAGGCTGGGGTCCACTTTTAGTTTTCTGCATGTGGCTGCCCAGTTTTCCCAGCACCAGCGGTTGAAGAGGCTGTGTTTGTTCCATTATATGTCTTTGGCTCCTTTGTCGAATATCAGCTGGCTGTAGGCCTGTGGATTTATTTCTGGATCTTCTATTCTGTTCCATTGGTCTTCAGGTCTGTTTTTGTGCCAGTACCATGCTGTCTTTGTGATTATAGCTCTGTAGTAGAGTTTGAAGTTCGGCATGGATAGCCCTCCCATATTGTCTTTATCCCCTAGAATTGTTTTGGCTATTCTAGGTCTTTTGTTATTCCATATAAAATTTTGGACTGTTTTCTGTATTTCAGTGATGTACGTCATTGGGATTTTAATAGGAATTGCATTGAATTTGTATATTAGTTTTGGAAGTATTACCATCTTTACTATATTAAGTCGGCCTATCCAGGAGCATGGGAGGTCTTTCCATTTCCTAGTGTCTTCTGCAATTTCTTTCTTTAACTTTTTATAGTTCTCATTAAATAGTTCTTTTACATCTTTGGTTAGGTTAATTCCTAAATATTTTATTTTTTGGGAGGTTATCGTGAATGGGGTTGCTCCCTTTATTTCCCTCTCTTCCTGTACGTTATCAGTGTATAGGACGGCAGCTGATTTTTGTGGGTTTATTTTATATCCTGCTATTTTGCCGAAGTGACTTATGATTTCTAAAAGTTTGGGGATGGAGTTTTTGGGATCGTGGAGGTATAGTATCATGTCGTCTGCAAAAAGGGATAGTTTAACTTCTTCTTTCACTATGCGGATCCCTTTAATGTCTTTTTCTTGCCTTATTGCCCTGGCTAAGGGTTCTAGGACTATGTTGAAGAGGAGTGGAGACAGTGGGCATCCTTGCCTTGTTCCTGATTTTAGGAGGATTGGTTGTAGCTTTTCCCCATTAAGTATAATATTGGCTATTGGTCTGTCATAAATGGCTTTTATTGTTTTTAGAAATGTTCCTTCTATTCCTATTTTCTCCAGAGCTTTTAGCATGAATGAATGTTGAATTTTATCAAAGGCCTTTTCTGCATCTGTGGCGATAATCATGTGATTCTTGACCTTGGCTCTGTTGATGTGTTGGATTACATTTATTGACTTACGTATGTTAAACCATCCCTGTGTCTCTGGGATGAAGCCTACCTGATCATAGTGTATTATTTTTTTTATGTGTTTCTGGATTCTGTTAGCTAGAATCTTGTTAAGGATCTTTGCATCTGTGTTCATCAAGGAGATTGGCCTGTAATTCTCCTTTTTGGTTGGGTCTTTGCCTGGTTTGGGGATGAGTGTGATATTGGCTTCGTAGAATGAGTTTGGGATAGCTCCCTCCTTCTCTGTTTCTCTGAAGAGCTTGAGGAGTATGGGTATTAGTTCTTCTTTAAAGGTCTTATAGAATTCTGCTGTGAATCCATCTGGTCCTGGGCTTTTTTTTGTTGGAAGACTTTTGATAGCTTCCTGTATCTCATTATAGGATATTGGCTTATTTAATTGGTTAACTTCTTCTTTGCTCAGTTTGGGTAACTTGTATTTCTCTAAAAATGCATCCATTTCCGCCAGATTTTCTTCCTTTAGAGAGTATAGCTTTTGAAAGTAGTCTGTTAGAATTGTTTGGATATCTTGGGTACGTGTTGTGATGTTTCCCGTGGCATCCCTAATCCTATTAATATAGATTTCCTCTTTTCTTTTTTTAATTAATCTTGCCAACGGGCCATCAATTTTGTTTATTTTTGCAAAGAACCAGCTTTTTGTTTGGTTTATTTTGGTTATGGTTTTCTGATTTTCTAATTGGTTAATCTCTGCTCTTAATTTGGTTATCTGGCTTCGTCTAGTAGCTTTAGGTCCCATTTTTTCTTGTTTTTCTAGCTGTTTTAGTTGCAACATGAGATTATTTACTTGGTCTGTCTCCATTCTCTTGATGTGGGCACTGAGGGCAATAAATTTGCCCCTCAGGACTGCTTTTGCTGTGTCCCACAAGTTTCTTTGTGAGGTGTTTTCATTTTCATTGAGTTGTAGGAAATGCTTTATTTCTTCTCTGATCTCTTCTGTTACCCAGGCATTGTTAAGGAGTGTGCTGTTCAATTTCCATGTATTAGAGAAATTTCTTCGGTATGCTTTGTTATTGAGAGCTAGCTTGATTCCACTGTGGTCAGATAGGATACAGGGGATTATGTCGATC